GGGCCTAACTACAGGATCAGTGTTCAGCTTGTGAGTTACGAGTTCGGGGTCTATACCGGGCATCTCTGTCGCGGACCATGCAAAAATATCTAAATTTTGAAGTAAGAAACTTACCAGTTCTGATCGTAGAGGTTCCTGGACGGAAGCGCTGATCTGAAGCGTTCGAGCTGGGTTTGCTGCTAAGGTCGGAACCGCGACTGTTTCTTCTGTTGGCGCGGCTTGTTCTTCACCTTGCTCCATAGGCCGCTCCAGCTCGAGGTCATCGGCTACCTTGGTTTTTCCCTTCAGGGCGGCGACGTAGCACTTATGGGACTTGAGCTGGTCACCCCGCGCTACTCCCACATTGAAGTCAGTTGGGAACTTCATAGCCAAATGGTAAGTGGAGACCACCGCCCGTAGGACATGGGTGATCGGTCGACCTACTATGACATTGTAGGGGGAGGGGGTCGCGACCACCAAGAAGTCGTGCTTGAGTCTGACCACACAAGGCCACGTGCCGACTTCCACAGGTACTGTTATTTTCCCAAGGGGCCGGACTTCCTCTCAGCTGAAGCCTACCAAAGGAGTGTCTACAGGCTCATGTCGCCTCTTTGCAACTGGAGCTGGTCAAACGCAGCTTTGAAGAGGATGTCGGCCGAGCTGCCTGAGTCGACGAGTATGCGCCTGGCCTTGAAGTCGTTGATTCTTAGCTTTATTACTAGCGCGTCGTCGTGGGGGTAATGGACCCCTTGCGCATCATCTTCTGTGAAGAAAATTGGCTCTTCTGTCCTCGGCCGCTTTGGGGGGTTCTGCTCCTCCCGGGTGGCCTCGCGAACCGACGCCCGAGCTGTTGTTGAAGTGCAACCCGCAACGATCGAACCACCCATTATCATGTGGATGGTCCCCCGGACTGGCCTCTCCTTCGGAGGCTGCCTTTGCAGTTGTTCGGCCGGCCTGCTGCTGGACTCGGGGGCATCCTTACCGTGCTCCCCTTGTCGACCTGTTTTATTACTATTATTATTATTATTCTATACAAAGTTTCTTAGATACCTGCGACGGATGAGCTCCTTTATCTCATCGCGGAGGTTTTTACAACTCTCGGTACTGTGACCATGATCTTTGTGGAAACTGCAATACAGGTTCTTATTTCTTTCATTGGGATTCCCCCTCGGACGGAGTGGCCACTTCACGTATGGGGCGTCCTTGATCGTCATCAGAATTTCAGCCCGTTTCGCGTTCAGTGGGGTGTAATCAGCTCGGTCCGCTACAGGGGGTCGAGGAAACTGACCCAACCTTGCCCCCCGAGCTGTGTCTTTTTTCTTTCGGCTGTCCCCTTGACTGGAAAGCTCTCCTTCCCTCTTCCTTTTTTCGGGCGCGCCCTCGCCCTTTTGGTTGATCTCCTCTTTGGTGGCTATGAACCTGTCCGCAAGCTTCAAAAACTCGGTTATGGTCGCTAGTTGGTTGACGACCATGTGCCATTTGAACTCTTTGTGTGTCACGCCTTTCTTGGCTGTTGCAAGGCATACGGCGGGGTCCAGGCGGGGTATCTGCATACAAGTGTCATTGAACCGCTTGATATAGCCCCGGATGGACTCTCCCTCTCTTTGCACTATGCTTAGGAGGCTTTCTTCAGTTCGCGGGCACCGTTTGCTGGTGACGAAGTGGGACGTGAAGGCTTGTGCGAACTGCGCCCAACTTCTTATCGACCCAGGTGCCAAGTTCCGGTACCACGTGCGGGCTGCTCCCCTAAAAGTAGTGGAGAAGGCCACACACATGCACGACTCACTGGCTCGCGCCAGGTGCATCTGTGACTGAAAGGCATCTACGTGATCATTTGGGTCAAACGACCCGTCATACTTGTCAAGAGGGGGGAGCTTGAAGTCTTTGGGCATTGGGACTGCCAGGAGTTCGGAAGACAGGGGGGATGGAACCGAGAGGAGGGGAGCTTTGACTTCGGCCGAGATTACTTCTTCTTTGCCCATGAGCTCGGGAAAATCGCGGGTGACAGATCGGCGAGATCGGCAGCGGCGTCTCTGCTTCTTGGTGGGCTCGGCGTTCGTGCTGCTTACCTCTGCGCTGTCCAGAATGGTTTGTGCAGGAAGTAGCCCGGTCTATTGGTGATGGCTGCGGACAGAGGGGTCCTGCTTGGATTCTGTTGCCAGGACCTCGAACCGGTTCTCAAGGAGCGGGGTTTCAAACTTCGACTGCCGAGGTGACGTAGACTTGGCGAGCTGGGGTCCTCCTAACCTGTCCGCCCGCGGTGAGATCGGGGTAGCCGGTCTCTCTCGTCTGCTGCGGGGGGAGGCCTGGTTTTTTGGGAGGTTTTGGGGGACCTCTCTTTGGCCGGAGGGGCGCTCGTCCTGGCGGCGAGACTTAGCTTGCTGCAAGGCTGGGTGCCGAGGCGGGAACTGTGGCTGCTGAAGTTGAGGTTGAGGCAGCTGGGGGAACTGTTGCTGATACTGATACTGGGAGACCTGGTGCAGTACGTGTTGTTGATAGAGCTGAAGTTGCTGGAACTGTTGCATTTGGGCCT